TTTTTTGATTTCCACCGTGACATAGGTGGGCATCTGTACCGTGCTTTTATTTTTCCCGAGTCATGTGATGAAATGAGTTATTTGTTAAAGTAGAAGAAATGCTTGTTTGTTTTTCTTAGTTGTGGCTAGCAATCATGCTGAAACGATAATGTCACTTAATCAATTAAACAATGTCACAACTACTGCTGATGCTGTGTGGAGTCTAGGATAGATCTATAATAGTGTGCATCGTGGAGATAGCATACATGGAAATAGTTATGAAGGTTGTTTTTGCTGGTTTTCTATTTCGGTCAACGGAAAGTGATGACACTTATAGGGCAGTATGATCGTCTGCTTAACAAAATTTTTTCGTTTTGTGTGTATCATGTTCGCGGTGGAGTATGAGTGCTGAAGGATACTGTACTGTTTTTATTAATTAATCTTTCGAGGCGGATGTATTATAGTGATTATTTTTATTGTTTATATGGTCTTTTTAGATGACGACTGATCTATCATCTAAACAAGAAGAATTTATTCTTTATTTGCATCGAACAAATTCAACAAAACATTTCCATTTAATGATATCTATTGAAAACGAAATAGATAATTGTGTTAAAACGAAAGAAAGTGATATAGCAAATATAGTTAACCGTACATATAAAACTGAATACAGCGGTGAAGCAGTTCAAATGTTATTAAATTTATATAAAACTTACAGTTTAGATTTATTTTCACTCAAAAATGTTAAACAATTAATTAATGATTATGTTAATGACGTCAACTATTCAACAGATACAACTCTGCATAATTTAAAACCGTTCACAAATGTTTGTCTGCGGTGTAATAAAGCATTAAATATTCAGTTTAAACAAATTGTTAATGTGTATACAAATGATAATGTTGAAAAAGGTGCAATTTATCAAGGTGAATGTTGTGGTATAACATACAGTCCAAATACATATACTACAGATAATAAACGTTATATTCTACCAGATGGCATATATCAGCATCGGTATTTTTATTTGAATGGAAAAAGTGTCTATACAATAAATTTGTTATTACGGTATTCTGCTGATTTACTGCATATGTATTGCGGTTTTGAAAATTTCTGTAGTGCATACAATAAAGCAACAAATGATGCATTACTACAAAATAATGGTATTATAAATAATCGAGGTGGTAAACAAAATTGTTTAGAGCGGAGAACATTTCAAAATGGTTGGTTGTTATACCAAACAACATTATTTCATTTTTCTACATGTTATGAAACAATATTACAATTGCCAATGAATATTAGCGATTCAGTTGAACGTAATGCTTATTTTAACACAAATTATATTAAATGGTTAACAAATTTCACGTTATTTTGGTCCGGTCATAAAAATAAAAATGTTTGTAAAGATAA